GCAGGAGGATGATAATCAAATCGTGTAGCTTCAACAGGGCAGCGTTGGCCGTCGGCTGCTCCTCACCCTCCTCTTCTTCCTCGTCCTACTCCTCCTGCTCCTCCCCATCCTTCCTCCCCCTTGTTTTCTTCACTCAACCCCACCTCTCCGCTTCATGGCGTCACTCACAAATCTAGTTGCGAACGCAGCTCCGCAACCAGTTTTGCGAGCAGCCTCCTGATAAGAGACATTACTCGCAAATCTAAATGTGAACGCCGCTCCACACCTAGTTTTGTGAGTAAGGTGTTGCTCCTCACCTTCGTCATGCTCCTCACCCTCCTCTTCTTCCTCCTCCTACTCCTCCTGCTCCTCCCCCCTTCCTCCTCCTTCGTTTCTTCACTCTACCCCCACCTCTCCGCTTCGTGGCGTCACTCGCAAATCTAGTTATGAACGCAGCTCCACAACCAGTTTTGTGAGCAGCCTCCTGCTACGAAACATTACTCGCAAAACTAGCTGTGAACGCCGCTCCACACCTAGTTTTGTGAGTAAGGTGTTGCTCCTCACCTTCGTCATGCTCCTCACCCTCCTCTTCTTCCTCCTCCTACTCCTCCTGCTCCTCCCCCCTCCTCCTCCTTCTTTTCTTCACTTTACCCCCACCTCCCCGCTTCGTGGCGTCACTCGCAAATCTAGTTGTGAACGCAGCTCCCCAATCAGTTCTGCGAGCAGCCTCCTGCTACGAAACATTACTCGCAAAACTAGCTGTGAACGCCGCTCCACACCTAGTTTTGTGAGTAAGGTGTTGCTCCTCACCTTCGTCATGCTCTTCACCCTCCTCTTCTTCCTCCTCCTACTCCTGCTGCTCCTCCCCCCTCCTCCTTCTTTTCTTCACTTTACCCCCGCCTCTCCGCTTCGTGGCGTCACTCACAAATCTAGTTGTGAACGCAGCTCCCCAATCAGTTCTGCGAGCAGCCTCCTGCTACGAAACATTACTCGCAAAACTAGCTGTGAACGCCGCTCCACACCTAGTTTTGTGAGTGATGTCTTCCTCCTCACCCTCGTCATGCTCCTCACCCTCCTCTTCTTCCTCCTCCTACTCCTCCTGCTCCTCCCCATCCTTCCTCCTCCTTCTTTTCTTCACTCAACCCCACCTCTCCGCTTCATGGCGTCACTCACAAATCTAGTTGCGAACGCAGCTCCGCAACCAGTTTTGCGAGCAGCCTCTTGATAAGAGACATTACTCGCAAACTAAATGTGAACGCCGCTCCACACCTAGTTTTGTGAGTAAGGTGTTGCTCCTCACCTTCGTCATGCTCCTCACCCTCCTCTTCTTCCTCCTCCTACTCCTCCTGCTCCTCCCCCCTTCCTCCTCCTTCGTTTCTTCACTCTACCCCCACCTCTCCGCTTCGTGGCGTCACTCGCAAATCTAGTTGTGAACGCAGCTCCACAACCAGTTTTGTGAGCAGCCTCCTGCTACGAAACATTACTCGCAAAACTAGCTGTGAACGCCGCTCCACACCTAGTTTTGTGAGTAAGGTGTTGCTCCTCACCTTCGTCATGCTCCTCACCCTCCTCTTCTTCCTCCTCCTACTCCTCCTGCTGCTACGGCTCCTGATCACTCAGCCCCCTCCTCTCCACTTCGAGGCGTTACCCTCCAATCTACTTGCGAATGCAACTCCACAACAAACCTTGCGAGCAACCTTCCGCTACGAATCATTATTCACAAAACTTGTTGTGAACGCCGCTCCACAGCTAGGAAGAGGCGGTGGAAAATGGGGGAGGATGTTGCTCAACTATGGCTGGTGCCACTGGAGCTCGGCATTCACCAGATGACGCGGAGGAGGAGGAGGAGAACGAGGGGTTCAATTTTGAGGAGTAGGGCAAATATGGTTTGGAGGAGAAGGTGGAATAGGTTTTGAGGAGTAGGGCAATTTATCATCCTCCTCCTGCTCCTACTCCTCCTCGTTCGCTTGGTATTATCCATACTCTGTCGGCTGCACGTGAGAGTGACCCCTCCCCAGAGTTACCTTTCGTGTGCGGCTTCCAGGGTGCATGGGGGGCGTGGGGGAGGGGGGGCAAACCCAGGCACGCAAGCCGCTATTGTCGCATCGCTTGTTCAGCGATGGACGAGCGACGCATCAAAGATCACTCCTGCCTAGGGTCACTCCTGCTTCTAGCCGAGGAGGAGGAGGCGGAGGAGGAGGAGGAGTATCAGCAGATCTCGAGACGTACTCTCGAGCATCTCGCAGAGCCCTGGATGCTCGAAGGTACGTCTCCAGATCGCTTGACACGGGTCATCTTTGGCGTGGGCCCCCAGCCAGGGACATCTGGCCTGGCCAGGACGGGGCAAGGACCCTCCTGGTCGAGGCCAGGGATCCTCGGGCTCGACCAGGAGGGTCCATGCACCGTCCCTGGGCCCAGGATGGCCCTGGCCTTTGATGGTAAAGGTGTGTACGTAGCGGCATAGCGTGGACCCTGGCCCCCGGGGTGGCCAGCCCCGACCACGGACGCGGACGTGGACCAGATCCGGACCACGCAGGCCAAGATGGAGGAGGTGTCGTCCCTGGTTGGGCTCTTCGCAACCAAGGCTCGGCTGCGCTAAGGGAATACGTTCGTTCCTCGACCTTGTCGTCGCGGGCCTTCGCCTTCGGCGTCCACGTCGACGTCGTCCTCTGTTTTTGGCGTGGGGGGGCGGGGGGCACTCCTGCAGTCCTCGCCGCCACGGCTGGGCGCGTGCTCGGGAGCCTTGCCAGGATGGACCCCAGGAGGGATCCGCGCCTTGGGCTTGGAGCGCATCCCGGGGGCAACGATAGGGGGGCCTAGGGCCTAGGGGGGGATGCATCGACCCCCAATCGCCCCTTGATCGCCGATAGGGCCCGATGGCCCCAACCTGCCCAGGAAGGTGCGGATTCACTGTCGGAGACCTACCGCCGATCTATCGGCGATGTATCGCCGATTCCAGGTCGATGCAACCCCCCCCTGCCAGTCCCCCTTATCGTTGCCCCTCGGCATCTGGGCGGTGGCGCGCTGGAGGGGGGGGGGGCGTCCAGGAAGCTCCTCGGAGGCCCTCCCTGCCCTGCGCGGAGCCCTCCGGGAGGCCCGCGAGGCCCTCCCTGGAGCGCCCTGCGTCGCCTCAGAACCCTTCCTGGCCCGCGTGTGACTCCCCCCTCCCCTCGCCCCCCCCCCCTTCCCCCCCCGCGCGCTCGCCGCAGCCCTGCTGGAGGAGGAGGAGGCGGAGGAGGAGGAGGAGGAGGGGGAGGAGGAGGAGGAGGAGGAGGAGGAGGAGGAGGCGGAGGAGGAGGCGGAGGCGGAGGCGGAGGTGGAGGAGGAGGAGGAGGAGGAGGAGGAGGCGGAGGAGGAGGAGGAGGAGGAGGAGGAGGAGGAGGAGGAAGAGAACCCCCCCCCTCTGGGGAAGACAAAAGGTACCCATACCGCTGCTCCTCGGGCTTCCCGGGGTGCGTTCTGGCCAGGCTTTCGAGGCGAATCCAGCGGTGGCGACGAGGGCCTCCCAGGAGGTCCAGAGAGGGGATAACGAGAGAAGGGTGGAGATATGGGATGGGTACCTTTTCCTCCTCTGACCCTCAGCCCCCCCCCCCGCGCACTCGCCGCAGCACTGTTGCGTGAGAGCGCCCCCGCGCCGTGCTGCCCTCTCTTCGCCGCCGCCCCATCGCCTTTCCCCCCCCTCTTGCGCGCGGGCTCGCTTGCGACGCCGTGCCCCGGCCTCGCCCCGACGCGCGTGCGGACCGCCTCTGTCTGCCGCGCTGCGACGTGCAATTGGATGTTTTTTGTTGAACAGTTTTTGGAAGGGTTTTTTGGACAGTTTTTGGAAGGGTTTTTTTTTGGGGAAAACCTTCCAAAACACCTTCCTCGCTCCCCCCGCCCCCTGGAGCCAAGGAAAAGCCTTCCAAAAACCTTCCGACAACCTTCTTCAGGAAGAATCCAGGAGGGGGTCCGCGAACGGCCGCGGTCTCCGCGGAGGGGAACTGACACTGCACTCAAGGCTCTTGAGAGACACTCGATCTCCCCGTCGTCGTACGCAGATGTGCAGGGAGCACGGCCCGAACGACTTCCACGCAGCAGTCGGCATGGTTGTTTATTTGATGACGACCAGCACTTCCCTCCGCGTTCGAACGCACCGGCCCTCCGACCTCCCCGCGCTCCGGCGCGCCTCCCCTCCCGTGCCCTCCGCGCCCCCGCGGAGCCCCCCCGCTGCTCGACCGCCGTCGGCCTCTCGCGCGGCCGCGGGCCACAGAGATCGAGCCCGCCTCGGAAGGCCGCCCGCCCCCCCCCCCTTGCTGCAGCTCCTCCTCCCCCTCCTCCTCCTCCTCCTCCTCCCTTCCTCCTCCTCCTCCTCCTCCTCCTCCTCCCCTCCTCCTCCTCCTCCTCCTCCTCCCTCCTCCCTCCTCCTCCTCCTCCCCCTCCTCCGCCTCGGCTGCAGCAGCGGCGACGGGCACAGCTCGGCGCTGCGGCGGCAGAGCTCGGCGGCGCGCAGCAGGGAGCCGCCCGGGCAAGTGGAGGCCTCCCAGATTCGAGGGCGCGCAGACACGGATCAGCGATCCGTGGTTTTGGCGCGCGGTCGCCAAATCGATGGATCGGGGGAGGTGCCCTCCCCAGAATGCGGCCAGTGCCGCCTCTCCTTGCTGAGCCTTATGATGTCCCAACCTACTTTAACCTTGACCACCAGAAAGAATTTCGAGCACCAAAAAAGGTACCCAAACTGAAGGGTTTTCACGCGTAGGGTCCTGGAAGACACTCGTCAGACACTGTTTCGACACTCTTTCGACACTTTTCCGAGTGCTCGAGATTATTAATCGCTTCGCTCATTCCGCCGGCCCTGGAGCGCTATTTGGGGCTTCTTGGGGCCGTTTTGGGGGCTTCTTGGGGCTTGTTGGGAGCGTCTTGGGGCTCCTTTGTGGCGTATTAGGCTCCCCTGGGGCCTCTTGGGGGGCTCTTGGGGGCCCCTTGGGGCGGGAGGGGGGGTAGTCGATTGCGGCCCCCCCCTCGGAGGCCACGATCCTCGTGAGGGGTGGCGAAAAATAGCCCCCCCCTGGGGATCGCCCGGGGGTCAGCCGGCCATCGGCCGGGGTACTTTTCGTCCGGGGCCCCCCAGGGGCCGCCCCGCGCGCGCGCGCTCGAACTATGACTATTGTTAAGTAGTTACCGGAGATCTTAGCACGCCTCTGGCCCGTTGGGCCGGCAAATTTCTGGGATGTGGTCCTCGAGTACGATTGGAGCAACATAAGCTGAGCTTTTTCCCCTTTCTCTGCGCGCCGTCGCGAGGTTGCCGAGCAGCAGGAGATGGCCGACAACATCCACGATCTTGCGGTAGAGGCCACGGACTACGTCGAGAACGCGGAGAAGCACCTGCAGCGGGCCGTGGAGAACAGCAACTCTTACCGCTTCTACGTCGTCTGCTGGTTCTTGGGGTCGTCGCTGTTCCTGATCCTCTTCGATCAGTTCGACCAGCGCTTCTCCTTGATATGACACTCCGCCCGCACGGCACGCCGCTTGCACCTCTCCCGCCTCCCTTCCCTTCTCCCCTCCCTGGCCTCCTTTCTCCTCCCCCCTCGACCTGCTACCGACTGCCCGCTTGTACAGCCCTCGGTCCATCCTTCGCCGCTTTCGCTGGCCGCGCCCCGCTCGAGATGCTTCGAAATGGGCGTCCAAGGCCCTTGCATCCTTATCGCGCATCCTTACTATACATATTGTCTGTATCTGTAGGGGGCCACGTGCGAGCCCTACCCCTACCCCCCACGATTTCTGAGGGGGAGGGCGGGGTTCACTCTATCCAGGAGCTCCAGAGCGAACTGAACCCCTCCCTCCCCCTCAGAAATCGTGGGGGGTAGGGGTAGGGTTCGCATGTGGTCCCCTAATCTGGCCTCCGCGATCGCGGCGGCAGTAACTAGTCTGCGAAGGCGAGAGGGCCAGCGAACTCTGCGGCGGCAGAAAGAGCCAGCGGGAGCCCCGTGCTTTTTCCCAGAGGCACTCTACCGAGCAGCGAGCGGCAAGCCTCGGAGCCCGCAAGGAGCTCCAGAGTAGGACCAGCAGGATCCTCAGGAGAGGAACGAGGGGGGATGGAGGAAGGGGGGAGGGAGGGAGAGGGCGGAGGTATGAGAAGAAGCAGGTGTTTCGGCCGATCGCAAACATGGATTAAGGGAGCGTGGATTAGCGACGGGTCCCGTTTCCATGAGGAATCGCGAATTTCCGCCGCCGAACCAGGCGGCACCCGCCGCATTTTGGGGAGGGCACCTTCCCCGATCCATGTTTGCGCGCCCCCGAGTGTTGGGCACGCCGGTATCGTGGATTGGCCCAGCGAAGCCAGATAGATATTGAGCACCTTGTTGACGTCGTTTTTTTTTTTTCGGTAGTGCAGGGTTCCGAAGAAGGTCCGCGGCTCGGTCGGTTCGGATGCTTCGCATCGTGCTGCACTCGGTCGGCTCCCGCGCCGCTGCCGATCTTCTATCTGATAGGCCTGTTTTCCACCACCACCACCACTACCACGACCACCATGAATTGGAGGGGAAGGGGGGCCTCCTCCTCATCCACTTCCTCCTCCTCCTCCTCCTTTTCGTTCTACTCCTCGTCCTCCGCGTCTTTCTCTTCTCAAACTTATGGCGGTGGTGTTGGTGGGAAACAGGCCCATCACTATCCGTCCGTCGAGCTCGGTCGGTTTCGGTTTCGACGTCGGCTCCGTCGGTTTTGTTCGGTGCTGTTGGCGCGGGCGGGCTCCGGAGGCACCTTTGGCTACGGCTGGATGTCGGGGGCCCCCAGACGGGGTGGTGACCACGCCGTACGGTGAGTCGGTGGGGATTCGGGGTCACCGCACGGTTTTGGGGCTCGAGGCCCTCTCCGAGGACGTCTCGGGCGACAGGGGCCTCCAGGGTCCCAAGACCGTGCGGTGACGGACCGTGCGGTGAGGGTCTTGGGGGCCTTTGAGGTCACCGCACGGTCTGTCACCGCACCGTTCCGGGGCTCCAGATGGATGCAGCAGGTCACGCGGAGATCTCGCGTCCACACTTGCCGCAGCCTGGGGCGGGAGGCCCGGGCCCAGGAGCACGGTCAGGAACGTTGCCAGGATCAGTTGAGCTAACTGCATCTCTCCTCTCCTCTACTCTACTCTACTCTACTCTACTCTACTCTCCTCTCCTCTCCTCCTCCTCCTCCTCCTCCTCCTCCTCCTCCTCCTCCTCCTCCTCCTCCTCCTCCTCTCTCACCCGCAACCAGGCACACACACACACACACACATCAGACACGAGTGCACATACACGTAAAGACGCACGCACACATACACAGACGCAAGCGCACAACACCATACAACACAGACGCACGCAAGCATACGTGGGGCGTGGCAGGCGTGGCACTTTCTCGACACAACACAGGCCCACACACGCGTACACGGGGCGTGGCAGGCGTGACACTTCCTCGAAACAAAAGGGGTGCGCAGGGAATGGTTCTGATATTCACGTCAGGACCCCAGACAGTGGCAGGCGCGGCACTTAGGTGGCAGTTCGTTGACGCCAGAGAGGGCGCGCAGGGGGTGGAATTCCCATTCGTGATACGCGCCCAGGGCATGTCAGGCGTGGCATTTCCTCGACACCAGAGATGGTGCGCAGGGGGTTGGGTCATCCGTGCCACGCGCGCAGGACATGGCAGGTGTGACGCTTCCTCGACACCAGAGGGGCGGCGCAGGGGTGGGAGCCCCATCCGTTCCATGCGCTCAGGGCAGGCGGAGAAACACAAGGATCCAGAGGGAGTGGGTCGGCTGAAGTCGTTGGGGGGAGGTGGGAGGCGGAATTCGGCATATGACCACGTATGCTCACCACCCGGCGTCTTTATACAGTGGCACGCGGCTGCCTCCGTGACATCTGGTAATGTGTTCAGCTCGTGCGTCAAGGGACGCGTCCCCGCATGGGCAGTGCCGGCTTGAAATCTCGCCGCGGTGGTTGGGGCGTTGGTGGTCGAGCTGATGTTCCACAACAGGTTGACACATCAAAAATATTAGCCCGAAGCTCCTGATCACAAGTTCGCAATTCAAGTGGTGGCTTACGGTTCAGTCGGTCCTGTCCCTCTACAGGGGGAATATTCAAAAATAGTCAAAAATAGTCCGAGGACGATTTTTTGATTGTTTTGAGCATTTTTGGAGCATTTCTTCTGGTATTTTTCTAAATTTTCGTCCAACATCCCCCTGTAGGGGACAGGCCCGACCTAAGCTTACGGGGTGGGGGTCCCGCGTGAGCCGTCTACAGACTGGCCCTCACTACCATGTAGACAAATTGTGGTTAGGCGTATAGTTGGGCAGCTTGTATAGCTGCGCAGGCAGGCTGCAGTAGCCACCATTGCACTAGGAGGAGAAGGAGGAGGATGAGGAAAAGGATCAGCAGGAGGAGGGGGAGGAGGAGGAGGAGGAGGAGGAGGGGGGGGGGAGGAGGAGGAGAGGAGGAGGAGGAGGAGGAGGAGGTAGGAGGAGGGGAGGAGGAGGAGGAGGAGGAGGAGGAGGAGGCAGGAGGAGGAGGAGGAGGAGGAGGATGTGGCCACATCAGAGAGAAAGAGTGCGAACTGCATGCAGCTCGGCAGTGTCTGAAGCAGCGCGACCCGAACGGCACGACGCGCCGAGCACGTCGGAGGGCGGCACTCGTCGCGGAGGGCGGAGGGCAGCAGCGGGAGCAGCGTTGCGGTGAGGGATGGCAACCTGTGGTTGGAGGTTGGACGTGGGAGGCGCCGTGGGGTGGGGGCGATTGGGGGGGGGTTCGGTGGGTGGGTGGGAATTGGGAAGGGAAGGCATTCTGTTCGTGCAGATGCAGACGATGGTTGTGGTGACTGTGCGGTTGACTCTCTGCGGTGGTGTGGAGGGGGGGGGTCGCTGGGCGGGTGATAAGAGGGAAGGGAAGCGAGCATGCTCGTGCCGATGTGCATGACCATCGTGATGATTGTGCTGTTGATTGTTGACGGTGGTGCGGATGGTAATCATGAGGATCATGAGGAGGAACAGGGTGATGAAGGTGAAGACCGTGATGATGACGATGATTACGTTGACGAAGGTGTGTGATGATGAGACCGAAGCAATCGAGAAAGAGGAGGGACGGATGAGGAGGAGGAGGAGGAGGAGGAGGAACAACAGGGTGATGAGACAGGATGTGGAGAAGCATGGGGACCACGGGGGATGGATGGTGCAATAGGTGGAGGATGATGAGGACGATGGGAAAACATGTTGAGGGGGATGAGGATTCAGAGGAGCAGCATGATGGGCATGGTGATGACGATTCCTATGCATTCTCGGCAACTCATCAGCGTTGTGTGCTTAAAGTGATGCTACTCATGGCGATGATGAGTTCAAGGGTGATACTTATGCTATGTATACTCGTGTTGTTAATGATGGCGATTGTGGTGACGGTAATGATGACGAAGGCGAGGGTGATGGCCACGATGACGAGAACGATGATGGTGATGATTGTGGTTGTGGTGCTGATGATTTCGGCGGTGGTGATGACGATGATGGGTCGGGATACTGATGACGACGATAATGAGGTTGTGGTGTTGGTGGTGATGCTGCTGCTGATGCCGATGTTGTGGTCGGGAGGAGGAGGAGGAGGAAGACGATGATGATGAGGAGGAGGAGGAGGAAGGGGAGGAGGAGGTGGAGGAGGAGGAGGAGGAGGAAGGAAGGCGGAGGATGAATTGAACGAACAGTATACTACTGATGATCATGCGGAGGAACAAAACGAGGAGGAAGAGGAGGGGGAGAGGGACGAGGACGAAGGGGAGGAGGAGGCGGAGAAGGAGGAGGAGGAATGCGTGGAAGAAAGAGAGATAGATACGGATTGGATGATGATTCTGATGATGCTGATAATTCTGATGATGACGACGATGATGATGATGATGATGATGATGATGCTGATGCTGATGCTGCTGCCGATGATGCTGCTGCTGATGCTGATGATGCTGCTGCTGATGCTGATGCTGCTGCTGATGATGGTGATGGCGATGCTGCGGATGATGATGATGAGGATCCTGCTGCCATTGCTGCTGATGATGCTGATGCTGATTATGATGATGCCGATGATGGCGGCGGTGGTGCTGATGCCGATGCTGCTGATGATGGTGATGATGGTGGCGGTTAATGACGATGAATATGCTGATTATGATGAGGATTATGATCATGATGATGCTGCTGATGAAGATGATGGTGGTGGTGGTGATGATGATGCTGATGGTGATGATGATTGTGCTGCTGATGTTGACAATGCTGATGATGAGGTTGATGATTGTGATGATGTTGATGCTGATGCTGATGCTGATGCAGATGCTGCTGTTGATGATGGTGATGATGACGATGATGCTGCTGATGATGAGGAGGATGGTAATTTCGATGACGATGATGATGCTGATGATTATTCCGATGATGATGATGCTGCTCATGATGATGATGCTGATGATGATGCAGATGCTGCTGATGATGCTGATGATGATGATGTTGCTGATGGTGCTGCTGCTGATGATGAATGTGCTGATGATACTGATGACGATGATGATGGTGATGCTGCTGCTGATGATGATGCTGATGGTGATGGTGATGATGAGGATGAGGATGCTGAGGATGCTGATGATGATGATGATGATGGTGATGATGCTGATTATGATGATGATGTGGATGAGGATGCCGAGGATGCTGATGATGCTGATTATGATGATGATGATGATGATGATGCTGATGCTGATGCTGATGCTGATGCTGCTGCTGATGATGATGATGCTGATGATGATGATGATGATGAGGATGAGGATGAGGATGAGGATGAGGATGACGATGACGATGACGATGACGATGACGATGACGATGAGGATGAGGATGAGGAGGAGATTGATGATGATGATGAGTTGAGATGATGATGATGATGATGATGAGGAGGATGAGGATGAGGATGATGATGAGGACGAGGAGGAGGAGGAGGAGGAGGATGAGGAGGAGGAGGAGGAGAGGATGGAGGAGGGAGGAGGAGGAGGAGGAGGAGTAGAAGGAGGAGGAGGATGGAGGAGGAGGAGGAGGAGGAGGAGGAGGAGGGAGGAGGGAGCAT